GTTATCATAAATTATAAATAACAATTATTTGATCACCTCGTATAAATCTTGATATCAACTTACTGGTAGTGAGGTGAAATGAAAATATTTTCAATAAATAGTGAGCGTCATAAATTAGTTTGTCTTCTCTATAAATAGTTTGAGATGAAATAAGAAAAATTGGGCATGCCATTGCACTGACGAATATCGGTTGTCAAAAATATGTTTTTGTACATTGAATATATCAATAATGTGTTGATTCACATCGTCTCCCGCTCACTAACATTTCAATTCGATGATTAATTAAAATATCAGTCTTTCTGAACTTACTTGGAATCAGTAGAAATATCAAATGGCTTGTTTATGAAAATCATGAGAAATATGATAATCGTGAGAAAAAACGAACAAGCGGATTACCCCTTTGCATTACGGCATCAAATGAGCAAATAGAACATCGTATAAAATAGGCAATAACAAAGCTTATTTAAGAGTCCTCTTTTCTTATAGATACCCCACTTTATGATTAATAAACTGAAAGATGGGAAACTCACCAGCTGGCCTTCCGAGGAGATAAATATTGATATAATAATACCAAAGCATTCAATACAGATTGATGATGAAACTTAGAACGCTTTATAGATACGCGCTGTTGATGTTTTTTCTCGTAACTACTTAGGTAATAAGAAGATTACACAAGGAATTTTAGAGGAGAATTTGCTATGCTACATCGTTTTAATGTACAGGGGTTTCGCAATAAGTTCTCAACAGTGACTCTTGATTATTGAGGCCTCTGGTTTTCTCATATCAAAATATCGACAATACATAACAATCAAATATTTATATTTTGAGAGATCTTTTTTATTACTCGACAAATTCTTGTATTTTTGTTTGTAGTACTAGTATGGATCGTGATAAATTTTTCAAATATTCATGTATGTATAACTAGTATCATCAAAAATATCTCATTGGTTCTAATACGGGTGATCGTCATCCAAAACACCCTTAATCCACTCTAAGAGAAAAAAATTTCACTCACGAACAAATATAACGTCTTTTTCAAAGTTAACTTCTAAAAGGATGTGTTTGTACTCCTGTAGATGCTAGCAAAACAAAACATGCTTAACGGACGTTGGTCAAAAATAAGGAGAAATGAAATTCGATGCCCCGATACTAATGAAAACATTTTCCGTTGATTTGACGTTAACCTGAAATATTTCTAGTGATTTCTGGGTTTAAGAAAATATTGTTGATCATGTCCATTTTCTTATGTAGCGTATTCTTGTAGTCAGTTCAAACGTTATCTAACCTCAATCATCAATTATTTAAATCAAATAAATAAAAAAATATCCTAGGAAATAGCCCAAACAAATTTCCACGTGAATGCGCATGTGCAACGGGAACAGTTCAGTCTCGAGAGCAAGTACTATTCGGGACGGTTCAAGACAGTTTAGGATCATTTCGCAGTCGAAACCAGAACAGAGAATTCATCAATCCGAACAATCCTCAATAAACCAGAACGCTCTATATCAACTATATCCTGACGTCCTAGACGACACAAATGACGAATCTGTTGAGGATTTTACTGAAATTGTTGGGGCTGAAATATTTGATGCTGATTTGACACGAGTGAAGACTAGTGGTGTAAATATGTCTTGGGAACTATTCTTAGAATCATTGAAAGTGAAAGTATTATTGAGTCGTTGGACGTGCACGTTTTTTTCCATTTTCTCAGACGCTGACAATTTGAAGAACCCTCGTAACACCCTAGCTGCTTTAAGACGAAAGAGGGGGATGGTGTGAAATAAACCCGTAGCGGGTGCACTTGTTTCTTTTAAACCGATTAAAGGCAGAAAAGAGGTCTATTCATCGAGATTTTTACAGGGTTTTGTAGTCATATATATTTTTCAGGTCTGAGGTTTCGATAACAGCTCAGTCTTCAATTATTCCTACACAAAAAATTTGATATAATAAAGGTAATAAGAGAATGTGATGGGCAAGAGAAATATTAGATAATAAAGACGAAACGAAAAATCGGAGTAGGGTGTAGCTACCCTTTTTCGGTGAAATTTGAAAGGGTTGTGAGGAGATCTCAATACGAAGTGATGAATTAATGAAAATTACTGCGAAACTCAATATGGTATTGTAGAATACACCTACGTAGCATGGTGAATGATGATATATTAATAAAAATACGAAAATGGTATTGATTTTTTCATTTGCAGCAAGCATGCTGGTTGGTTATACACACATCGGAAAAGTCTAGGGATATTTTAATAACATACTAAATATCATAAAAATAAATGCATGAGGTCGTTTAATTTCGATTAAATTGGTACACTCGACCACCCTGTAGATTTCTATGGGTTGAACAAAGCCTGCAAAAACGGTAACTAATCTTTTATCAAGTTTTTCACAAACTGTAGGTTTTCGGCTAAAATGAATAATCTGAAAGTGTCGAGTTTGTACATTCTATGCAGTTCTTGCTCAGCAATTAAACTGGAAATATTGTGCTTTAACATGGAACGCCATCACTTACCATTGGCTGAGATGAATAGAGCTGTAGGGCTTCTTCAAGGTGGCATGCGACAAAATGATGTAGCTCTTCGTTTGGGGGTCTCCCAAAGTGTTATCAGTCGATTGTGGCGGAGTTTCCGTGAAACTGGCAGTCCAGCCGAACCAAATCCAGGACGAGGACGCGCTACAACTGCAGTTCAAGACCGATTTTTGGTCTTAACCGCAAGAAGACAACCGACAATCACAGCACCTGAGTTGGTTAACGTGTTGCAGCAGACGCACCAGGTAACCATTGGTCGTGATACTGTCAGAAATCGACTGCATGAAGCAGATCTCCACAACAGAAATCCCCTTAGATGTCCACCTTTGTCGAGAGGCAATCGCGGTAGAAGATTAGAGTGGTGTCAAGAACATCAAAACTGGGATGCAAATGATTGGGCCACAGTTTTGTTTACAGACGAATCCAGATTTGGATTTCATCCAGATTCTCGTCGAGTAAGACTGTGGAGACGACCTGGAAATAATGAACGTTTGAGACACGTCCAGGAAGTCCACACATACAGAGGTGGTACAGTAATGCTATGGGGCGGAATCATGATCGGCGGCAGAACCGATCTCGTTTTTCCAAATCGCTCCCTCAGAGCTCGACAGTACCTCGACACCATTCTTCTACCTATCGTCCGTCCGTTTGCTGGTGCTGTTGGTGAAAACTTCCACCTAATGCACGATAATGCTCTTCCACATGTCGCGCGTCTAGTGACTGACTGGCTCACCAACGAAGGAGTTGATGTATTGCCATGGCCAGCACAATCACCGGACCTGAATCCCATCGAGCATGTGTGGGACATGCTTCAACGAAGAATTACTCCGCATATGGGGAACATTCACACAACGTTTCAATTGAGAGAGCTTTTAATCGCTGAATGGGCATTGACAATCTCATTTTGTCGATGCACGATAGATGTAGGGCCGTAATAAACCAGCGTGGAGGCCACACTTTGTACTGATTCCAATTTTTTTTGTATTATGATTTTTTTTCGGGGTGCCAAAGAAGAGCCATATGTATTTTTTAAAATATCCCTAGACTTTTCCGATGTGTATATTTTATGAGCTAGTATAATTTGGATTTTATCATATATGCATCTTCACAACAATTCAATGTAAGTTGAAAATTAATTGATATTTATATTGATTGTTTAAAAGAAAACGATTGTATCAGGATACGTAATTTAAATGCAGAAAATGAGTTGTTTGAATGTACAAACACGGAGAGAGCTTTATCACATTCTTTAGCCTAATTGCTATAACACAGTATTATTTCGAAACTTCACTGAATATACTCATTTTTAACGGAAGTAGAGTTTCAGTCATGTTAGTGTTTTTTTAATGCTCCCCGCCTCATAGATTTTTTTGTGTGAAATAGCTCATATAAATTCCTCAGCAGAATAAATCGTTATTCTTTCAATTATGTCAGAGCAGAAAATATTTGTCTAATTGCCTGAACAGTCGATTCTCGTGTTATATTTTTAAATATATACGTCTCCCCAAACAAATTATAAAAATAGCCGACCCAAACTATTTGATTATCTTGTGTAGTAAAATGTTTTTATTTGTGACTGAGTAGTATATTTATAAGTCGTCACTACACTGCTACGTTTAAGTGTCTGAAAATCATTCTATCATCGACCGAAACCTACATTGAAACAAAAGAATAACAATGAGGGATCCAAAATCACGCAAATGCCTTATTCCTACCGTTTTATCGTTCGAGATAAGGCCGGTGCAGTATTGAATATATGTCATGATACTTAGAAATACAAAGAAAATACTCTGATATTAATTACCCTCTTGGCTTTCAATTATTCCCTTTTTGGAGGGATATAAACGACCGCACAGAACTTTTGTTATTGATTTTTGAAGAAATAAAAAGCTGTGGGAATATAAGTAACTATATACTTCTTGGTTGCTCTTTCTAATTTTTTGTGGGTTTCTAACCATCCCCAATTTTTAAAATGACATTCAGTATCTAATAAGAGCAAGTTGAAGTGAAATTTTTGTAAAAATACAAATTTTTTGATTTGAAATTACAAAGTTTTCAGGATTCAATTGATACCAGTATTGGAAAACTTATACTGACTCGCTCTTCCTTCTGAATAACAACTAACACTTTGTTAGTACAATTTGAAACGAACGTTACTAAAAATCTGAAATTTCGGAAACCTAACCTAATATTCATCATTGTAGTCAACGTATATATACAGCCTATATCTCCCGCAGTAACTGATGAAACTTTTGGTACTACAAGTTGCATTCGACCACGGAGCTATCAACCCGGATTTTGATCTCTCTAACCGTTACTCCGGTTGTGAAAGCCTATATTCTTATATTTAACAAAAGCCTAGGGCTTTTCAGATTTATACAACTCTTTCACAATACAGAGAGAATTGTTCTTTCGGTTACCAGTATTTTCTTGGATTTTCAAAAAATCACATAGGAAACATACTTACTTCTTTGTCTTTGGTAGCGATTTCGGTTTCGAAGCTATGCCTGTCCATGTTTGATGTGTCTTTGTTTTCGCAGTTGTTCGATGTGTTGTTTCCGGATAGTTGTTCTTTTAACGTCGTTACTTCTTTTTCGGCAAGTGTCGCCCTCTGAAACAAACGATTTCATAATTGAAATATATACATAAAATACCAGAATTATTTATAAATTCCGTATCCCCGAAATTCATTACTCATAATTTTTCAACATTTAACAAAACAACATTTAACGTTGACGTTATTTGGACATGATCTGACCGTATATATTGAATTTAGCTCTTTTGTGAACTAGAGATCGATCCCTAATCGGGAATGGTGAGAACTCGCTGCGCATTGACGTTTCATCTGTGCTAGAAATCGCAGGCTGAAAGGTAAGACCTCGCTTATGCATAAGTGTCGACTTTCAATTGTCGTTCAAATGAAGACGATATGGAAAAAATGCTCTGACTTATTTCTTTTACATTGAGAGAATTGTTCTGTTGAATTAATTTTACGCTAATATATTCTAATCACATCTCTCTTCTTGAAATCCCATTTTCCATATTCAAGTAACAATTTAATGTGAGATTTTCACTGAACATTTTACAAAACCGCAACATGTGTTTCGCTCAAGAATAGCTTCCTCGGGCGTGTTCATACTGACTAAACTCTAAAGGTGAATAATCAAATTCTATTTGGTCATTCAGTAAATTTTCTTTCAATGTCCAAGCATTCTGAAAAGTTGAGTTTCAAACCTGTCTCTTTTAAAAAGAGAACGACAAGTCAGCCTAAACTTTATATTGGCCCAACGGAGCGAAACTTTTTCCATATAATAAAATAACGTAGACCAATTCCAAATTTGCAAACCATTTATCATAATAATTGTTCAAACATTCATAAACTGGTATAGTGGTTGATTCAACATTTACAATATTATAATGTGTTGATTTTTTTACGGTGCTCATTTTATGACATATTTCTTCATATATCTAATCGTATCAATTGTGGAAGTGAAAGGCGCGGATTTTACCGAATTCGAGGAACATCGGATTTAGGTTAGATATAAAATTTAATGGATTTTCATTTCCACCAGATCCTTTTTGATTTTTTTGTTTACGAACCAAACTTCAGCACTTCATTCGCCTTTGAATTGCCTCCCCATTTCCTGTGGATCACATTACCAGAAAACTTTTTAATAACGGATCGTGTTATTATTTTTTACGATATGTTGTAATAAATAGGGTGAGAGATGTATAGGGGATGTTCGAAAGTCATGAAAATTTGAATAACTGATTACCCCCAGTTCCCATTTCGCTCTTTTGCCGCGCGAATATATAAGAACATCATTATTATTACGGAGTATCAGACCCGTAAAACAATGTCTGAGTTTGAATTAAAAATCAAAATATATTGCCCCAACATATATCCCCTACTTGGAACTTAATAATAAACTCGAACACATAGGCGTGCCAGATATTATTACATTCAGGGATATTGTATAATTGAAAAATTGCTATTCAATTGTAGGTATATCGGAAACTTGGTAACTCAGGTTTTTTTGTAATATACAAGTATTTCATCATCAATAAGATAATATAGTAAATGCTTGGATCAAAACATAAACACATTCTGCAAGTAGAATTTTTATATATTTTGTTCTAGAGCTGTTAACTGCTTCTAAGCTGCTATGACATAATTATCAATTATTTTGAAATTTCAACTCCCAATGAACTAATTTGGGTTGTTTTCTAGTCTCGTTATGAAAATTAATTTTTTGTATCAAAAATACTACCAAAACTGTGGAAATAATATTTTCATAACAATTTGATTATTTATATGTCGGTTTAATGCTATCCAGAAACATTTGGATTATATTTTTATAGGTAACTCATGAAAAATCAGTATAACTGCTTCCTTTGGAACACCTGTGTACTTACTGTCTGCTAAACATGTATTCACTTCATTACATCGATTTCTTGTGGATAGATAATTTTTAATTTCTCTTTTTAGAGCACGACAATTCAAATCATTCTTCCATTCTTCATGTTGAAATCAAAAATATTTCATTACGAATAATAGGCTGAATTTCTACTCTGCTACGCCTATGGCATCTTTAAACCACCTCGCGGTGTGGATGAAACTCCTCGCTATTGTTTTTATAATAACATTGAGATATTACCCTATGCGGTATAGAAAGGTGGCTATGAACATATTTCACGTAATAAGGCGTTGGGGTGAACGCGGCGCGCGCGAAAAATTGAACATCGCTCTCTTCTCGCGAATAATAAGATAGCCATGGAAATATACGTACCAGTCGAATAACGCTGCCTTATTATTACGCTTTTTTACATTCAGATGTCTTTCGAAGACATAAATAACGATGAAATCGTTTTATTTATGATTTTTTCGCAGTAGGTGGGGCCGCCCGAAGAAAATGCTTTTCAAAATATAGAAGACTTTTGAGATACTTTTGATATTGTTATGCATTTTGTAACGTGACAATAAATTTCAAAAACGTATGATTTGACGAAATTCCTTCCTAGTTTCGAGTCGATAGTTTTTCAGAGTGTCATTAGAGACTAAGCAGATTATAGTATGGCGAATGTCCATTAAAACAATTGAATTTCAGATAATGAAGTTAATAGTTAAACCCTATCGAAAATTGGATATTCGGGACAAAACTCTAAGTTTTAGTATAGCGATTCATTCTATTACGTTGGCTTTCCTTTAAAGCTATAACAAAATTATAGAGTCCCATCTCTGTTCCGTTCCGTTCCACCAAAAGTGAGAGTGAGATGCACGCTAACACCAAAAGTACGCACATACTCTCTCGTACGGCATCTGACTAGAGTAACTCTATCTGTTAATTTTATTAATCCCTACGTCGGAGAAGTGCCGCGCGCTTCTCAGTTGTTTTTGATTTGCATGGCCTGCTGTATAGCTGGTCTCTTTGTGCAAATGTCTCGGATGGAACTGCGAATGAATTTTAACGCCATCGGAACGAAAAAGACGATTCCGTTCAGATTTCCGGTCTGATGAATTTTGTTCGTAAATTGTATTTCGAGTACCGAATACCAATAGATACATTTTGAGACGAAGATATCACTATGCGTTTTTGTAAATGTTTCAATTGACTCATTTGGTTTGGTATAGAGTATAGAGTATCACATTTCACTACTAATTGCATCACAATTATCTGAAACGAAATTTTTTCTTTCTCGGTCACCTCCAATTTCAGCAAAAACGTCTCCGGTTTTGAGATATTGAATACAGAATGGATAATAAATAATTAAAAAGTCACATTCGGTTTTTGTTTCAGTGACTTATTACTAGGGTCTAAAAGTTAAAAGGCAAAACAAAAAAAAAGGAAAAACAGAGATATTTTTTTAAGGACAAAACACCAAGCACTACAATAAAACATGTTCGCAGGAAGTTTATTCCATATAAACGCAGATCTCCAAATGAAAGAGTTCCTAAATAGGTATACTGAGTTGAACCAAAAAATGATGAGCAGCCGTAGTCGGTCGCATATTTCTGATATGTACCGCTCGTGGTGGAATTAAATATGCCAAGTTACTTGAACACTTCCCATGAAAGTATCTCTCGAAGAGAGACAAATCTCCAACCTTTCTTCGATGTTCCAGGCTATCAAGGTTGCTCGTGATGTTCGCGTCTCCAATCAGGCGGATGGCTCTTTTCTGGATGGAATCCAGCAACTTCAGGGTATGTTTGGGGGCAGAGCTCTATACATGAGAACAATATTCCAAAGAAGGTCTGATCTGAGCTTTAAAGCATCAAAAGTTGCTGAGGTGTATATAGTTTGATGGTCTGGAACAATGTTCCAAGCTTTTGGGAAGCTGCCTTTGCAATTCCAACAACATGATTGTGCCAAAACATGTTGGTGTCCATTTTAACCCCCAACAAACTTATCGTAGCAGAAAGCGAAATTGTCTGACCTGACATTATTACGAGATATCCGGTTCGGAGACATTTATCTTCTTGGAGAAAACCGATGCCTGGATTTTTGTGGCATTGAATTGAGCTTGGTAGAAGAGCATATGTTAGAATGTCGGAGAAACAAAAAAGAAAAACTCACATTGGTTCAATGTATATAGAGAACAAAATAAAAATAAAGGAAGTATGAGAACAAAACAAAAACAAGAAAAAACACCTAATATAATCAATAACAGATCACAAATTATTTCGAAATGAAAATGTGAAAAGTTTGAATGTGGAGTTTTCTATGCCTTCGTTAAACCATGCAAGCAGAACCAATGTAAATGAGATGGGAGAAATACATGGGACAGAAATATATGGAGAGAAATATATCGGGTAAATAAATATGATTCATAGACAAATTAATATTCTCTATAAGCTCTCGGCTCAAGTTTCAGCTCTTCTTACAGAATATATTTTCTAGACCGATAATTACAAGCTCATCGATAACTCAACAATCTATCAAGTTACGATCTGTATGCTCTGGCGTGCCATCAAAAACGAAAGTACCTCGGCTGAAAGGGTTACCCTAATATTTATTGACATTTGATAATTATTAATCGATAATTACATTTCCCGTGGCAAGCCTTATAGACGCTTTAGATAGCTGGAGATATTAATAATCTTTGACAGCCTTTAAGACAAAGAGCACTGACTCTCTTGAACATTCAATATACATATATTTTAATCCGATTCGAGGGTTTCGGTTATTAATTGAACCGATTTCCAGGAATTTCTATAATTTCGATCGAGTATTACGATTTCCAAAGCTAGAATTTTGATATTAAATGTGTATCCCCCTTTGTTCGCTCAAACGTCCTCAGCGCAAATGACTTTCTTGATTGATATATCAAACGTTCGATCTGAATCAGTTTCTTGATAATGACCTCTGAGGTTTCACATGAATATTTACAAATTTGAGTACAAACATTTCTATTTGGCTTCAAGTAAATTGCACCAATAATCAGGGAACAGTTATTTTTTTCGGAATGCTTTTGAATTTAATTTGTTTCCTTAGTGTACGAGGCAAATTTAAAACACAGTTTCATCTATGAGGTGCCATCTATTGAATATTAACGAAACCGTTAGAATATGATAGACATCATTGGAATCTCTTGCGTGAAATGAATCTG